TGCCCCGGGCAGGCGGGAGCGGTGGGTGCCGGATGCCCTTGCCCCGCAGCGTGCTCGCTGACTCGGTGCTGCTGGTCAGAGACCGCCCGGGCGCGGGGAGTGCGAGGCGTTAACGTGCCGGCACGCACCCGCCTTTCTCAGTGTGGTCCGTTATTCGGTGCTTGGGCTTGGAGGAGGCTGGAAGTCTGGAAGCTGCTTTTTTCTTGTGAACTATTAACCATTATTTGGCTGCAGTGGTCAAGGAATTTCTTGAGATGCTTTTATTTAGTTCTGATGTTCTTCAGAACACTTAGCGGGGGATTTTCTGTCCGAAGTAAGTTACGCTCTAGTTAGACCAGTTATTACGATATGAAGTAAGGAGAAGCATCTAACACAAAACTACGCAAGGTGTTCTGTTGATTGTTACACATACAACACTACTATTTTCGGTTTGGGGGTGTGATAGCACAATGCCCACGTTGTTTTATTCTGTAGCTAACATTAGTTGGACATCATCCAAAAGTTGGACTTTTGCATCCTTCTCTTAGAACCTTAGAGTTAGTCACCATCTGTATTCTGAGAACAAGCTGGAGGATCTGCTTTTTTGCCCTGATTCAATGTTAGAGAGTTTAATTGAAATCTTACGTATGCTTGGACTGTGTATTTTTAATTTGCATGAACATGTGCGTTAATTTCAGCTTACACCTCTTGCAGCATTTGAAGCCTGGTGGAATATTGCGATGGCAGCTCAGATGACTGATGCTCATCGACGGTTCTTGCAGGTCCTGATGTCTCATGGGATAATGGAAGGATCAGAGGCTAGGAAATTACACAGGCGCTGCTGTGAAATCCACAAAGGTGTGTCTCTTTGGAGAAAAAGTAGGGAGATGGAAGAACTATTTTTTTGCTGGCGCAGTTTATAAATAATTAGATTTCTGAAAAGCATACACCATCTAAAGCTTTAATGATGTGAATGTTCTCTCACTTTCCTAAAAGATAAAATAACACAGCAATGAGGAAACTAAGTTTTAATCAGGTCAGACTCAGACAGAGCACTTTTTATTTTAGCAAAGATGTTTTTATATAGGTTATACATTTAAAAAAAAAAATTTTTGACACTCATAGTGCTGAGATTTCCAGAATGTTTTCCTTCATACTTATTTGGAAAGATTTCCTTTGGAATGTAATGTGAAGTGTATGCTGTTATCCATCTTGAGTAAATCTGTCACATCTGACCGATACATGGTCGGTTGTTTAGTTTTAATATATGCTATACCAAGCTGAATTTTCTGGCACATGTAACAAAAATTTGGTTGTATACTATCAAATCTGTGTGAAGTTCATGTTCAAACTTAAATAGTACAGAAATGTGTAATCAACTCAATAAGGATTTTTTTCAGAGATCTGCTTACAAATCAGAGATGTGTATTTCATCTTCAGTAATTTTGAAAATGTGGTGGGCACAAAGCGAAATAAAGCTGTAATGAGTAATGTGTTTAGCGCTAATTAATCAGTAGGTATTAGATGTGTCAGTTGCTGGTTCCCAGAAAATAGTGAAAGAATAAAATGCCTCTATTTTCATCTTTTCCTTATTTATGAACAAAATAGAAAAGGGCAAGGAGTGTGTAAGAACAAAAAGTGCCATTTAAAAGGAAACACCCAAATGCTGTTCAAATTAGTGATTTTAAACCACTGCCATTGAAAGGCAGGTAACTTCAGCAGATGATGTTTAACATTCTGAGATCTAATATGCGCTGAATATATGTCTCAGGTTACTTTCTGTTTCTCCAGTATTTACGACTTTAAAAATAAAAGCCTTCTTAACAGTTATTTGGGGGGGTTTAGTCAGTTCAGGATATCTGTGTGAGTCTGTTGAGAGCTGAACCAATAACTGCAGGGCACCTGAACTATTCAGTTGCTGGTGGCTAACCAGGATGGTAACTTCATCACCATTGCTAACTATTCTTTCTCTCTGTTAAGAGAGAAGAGACTGTAGTCACTGATGCACACAACCTGTTGTGAACTCCATCTTGCTTTGTCATCACAAGTGGAGTCCTTTCTGGGCGATGGCACTATTTATGCATTTTCCTTAGTTAAAAGGAGTCAAACAGACTCCATAGGTTTTCAAGCTCTCCTGAGCCAAAAGAGCTTATTTCAGCATCTGCCCAAATTTCTGACTGAAAAAAATGGAAGTGTGGAAAAATAACGTTGATTTTTCAGGTTTACTCCTGTATTTGTGAGAACCAAGCCACTGTGATTTGTAAAGGAATTTATCATAAATGGTAGAGATGGCCTAAGCCAATAGCATGGCTATAGTGAGTTTATTGTGTGATAAGAACAAAGAACCTTAAGAAAAAAAACTTTACGGCTAGATCGTGTTTTCAGTATGCAGGATCAGTGAGCTGTGCTGCAGTAAGAGCTGAATAGAGTTATTATTCATTAGGAAGGCTTATTTAATAGAAGGATTTAGACAAAAATGGCTCCATTGCAACAGCTGTCTACCAAGTACTTGATATTTTTTCTGCATTTTTTGGATGTCTAATGGAAAAGTTTATGAAATTACACACATACAGTGTGGGAGTTTTAACTGTTACAGTTTTATTAAATGCTCTACCTAGGAAAGCTTTTTGTCACGTTGGGAGGCAAAAGGATGTTGGACTTGACTCACTGAATGGAACACTTCCCCCCACATTTGTTTTATGAACGAAAGAACCAGCGATTTGACAAACCCATCCTTGTCAGGGGCAAAGTTAACAGTATCACAATTTATGAGATGATGGTAATAGCATTTTTATGAGGAAACAGCCTTACTGGACTGTTTCTAGATGAAGTTCTGATTTTGATGTAGTTTCTTCAAATACATCTTAATACTTGCTTAGTGCAATCTGAACAATAATTTTCAAATCGGATCAAAGCTAATGTTACTAAAACTAGCTTATTTGAATTAATTATTTTCTTCTGCAGGTTGTAAGCATTACATAACAAGGCTGTCTCCTATCTATGACATTGGTTTCCTTAAATACAAAAGAATGAAAAAGCTGCGTGAAATGAAATCAAGTCATATAGTAACCAGCCTGTGCAGCCTCTGAGCAAAGTGATCTGAAAACTTTCCCTCCTGGTGTTTGGCACATTCTCTGTTTCTGGTTTATTTCAAAATCCTAAGCCTTTTGGCCAGGAGACACCTTCTTACGTTTTGTTTATCACCTGCATGCTTCCTGTTAGCAGACAAGTGTCTATGCTAAAATCTGCACACGGCTCTGAAGGAAAAGCTCCAAGCATCTACCAAAGTGTTGTGTAGGTTCATTAGAAAGTGTAAATTCAGTTAGGATACAAACTGCAGGCTTGTTGAGGAAGGTTATTGTAATTGCTAATACTTTTTTACTGGAATCCCTTAATGCATGCTGTTTCTGTCTGCATTGTGTTATGGCTTGTCCAGTTATGAAACACATTATAGTAGAAACTTAAGTGCAAAGTTAAAAACATCTTGCAGATTTCTAGCATTATTTAATAGCTAAGGTACCACGACATTCTCAGCATCCTTTCTGGGGTGGCTTTGTGTGTTGTCTGTGGGTGCAAGCTGTCTTCTTCTTTGTTTGTGTAGTCAGGGAAATGGTAATATACGAGTCAGCTGTTGTTGGATCCCTTTACAAGACACTGTGGGAGGAGAATACGTAGAATCTTACTCCGACTCTGACCCCACCCTGAAATCAGGAAACAATAAAAATAGGAGAGTTTGTAGTTATTTTTCCTGCTGTCTTTCAAGCCAGCTGAAGTTCTTTAGTAACTGAAGCTCTGGGTTTACACTACTCTAAATAGTACAGCTGGAAAGATGGTGCCTCTCCCCTGGAAAACACATGTGTCTCTGTAATAGCACGACTTTTTTTTTTTTTTTTTTTTTTTTTTTTTAAACAGATCATGGAATAAATATTGAGATTCATGTGCTCTCTATCCCTTGATAGATTTCCAAGTTTATCTATTTTTTCTTGGATTCAGCACATCTTCATTTGATGAGTATTTAAATATAACAATATTAGGCATTTTCGTGACCAGCATTTTATTTTCTAAAGACGTGGTCATTCACAAGCGTTTTCTTTGCCACATTCTTCTTGGCCAGAAGGTTAACAGAAAACACAGATATATTTTCTTCTGCTATGTTTTTGACGAACCTAAGGGTAATTTGGAGGGACAAAAATTTAAGTTGCCCTTCAAACTGATGGCCGTATTTGCTGAAGGACAGTATTAGGTAATATTTATACAATTATTGATAAAATGTAACTGTGTATATTAAGTTACAATGAAGTTCATAAGAAAAATGGCCGATACAGTCCATATATGAAAGGATGTTTAGAAAAATGGAAGAATGAGAGAAAACTGCTTTTTTCCTGCCTGTTGGGTGTACAGAAGGAGTGTATTGGTTAACCATTCATTAACGTGGATTGTATCAGACTGGCTTTTGTCTAACTATGTTTTGTATTTTATTTAGCTGGCTTAGTTTAGTTAAGCTCAACTTAGAATAAAATAACTATTAGCGTCAACTTTAGTCTACAGTTGTACCAATTTCTTAAGCATAATATATTTCATGCTTGACTGTTGAAAGACCCACTAACTAAATTATATATGAGAAACAGGGATTCATAGAATAGACAAGCATTTTTGCTTTACGTGTTTTGTATGTCTTTTAGTATTTAGTATTCTAGGAAAAGCCTTAGCAGCCGCTCCTATGTGTGACCCAGTGTGCTCATTATGCTTATATCTTGTGTGCAAAGTTCAGCTAGAGCTTAGGGGAATTTTTCTTATCTGTGGTGGAATTTCCAGATAACCATCTGTTTGAAGTCTGTGTTTTATGTTACCAGAGAAGTGTTTGCATTGCAAAACAACAGAAAAGTCCACTGTACTGTTGCTTTGATTTTGCTTTATAGTGCATCAAATATGTCAAAACTAGAAAAAGAAAACGTGGCTCTTGGCTCCTCAAACCAGGCAAACTAGACAATGAAGAATATCACAAAGCACTGACAGACAACGGACTGGGGAAGATCAGTGGGAGTATAGACAGTGAGATGACGCAATTCCTCAGCAGTACTTTGCTGTAGTGTAGTGAACGCCTTTAAGTAAATGCACTTCAGTTATTTCTCTTACGTGTTGTGGGAGAAGTGAATGCTGAGGAAACTTTTTGGTGAGGATGAGATGAGGTTTTCTGGTGGATGGCTGTACTTTCTCCCATCTCACCTGCATCATATTGCCCATTACTAGTTCTGGAAGCCATGCTCCTGCCAGGCTTAGTAGTATTCTTGTATCTTGTCACAGTCTGCCCACTCTACAGGGACTCTTCTGTTTTTACTGTGGATTTGCATCTACTTATCTGTAGAATTCAAGGTTAGAACGAAGTAATCTATTTTTGTGTCCCACGTAACGCAGGTGCATGTTTTCTGCTAACTATTTTTTGCTGTGTATCAGATACCTTGTAGCTGGATTAAAACATAACATGTAGAGAAGTTTATCAATTACTAATTTAGATGTTCTGGTAATGAAAGACTGACTATATCCCTTGGGTCAAAATTCAATACTCCCTGTGTTAAGAAGACTGAATAAAGATGGGATGTGTCAGTCTAAAGTTGTACTGAACCAGCACTGTAGCGGAATGTAGGTGTTAGTCATCACTCAGGTAGTGGGTTAGTGGTTGCTGCAAAAATGAAGTCTTGGCTATGAGTCTTTACTGAAGTTCATTAGAACTTTTAAAGTGTATCAACATTGCACTGCTGGTGAAAATCCATCTGCGCAGTTTGAATAACTGAATATTTTCCCTCCCTGAACTCCTTTGCAGTCTGATTGTTTTTGTTCTAGATTGTTGTGTTGCAGTGTGCTACTAGAAGCAGCAACTTGTTCTTCCCAGTGATTCTATCTTTCATGGGAAGGCTGAAACACGTATCTTAGATGCATGCGTAGAAAGAGGTTTAATGTGAATGGTTTCGTATGAGTTTAAAATCATGTAAAGCAGGATACATGTAAAAAAATTAACAGTGAAGGACATAGGCTAGTCCATAGTTCAGATGTCGTTAAGCTCTCCGAGGCAGGGATTGCCTGATTTTATGTATTTATGTATAATACCTTGTGCTATTACAAAGAAGTGTTCTGGCTTGTTTTTGATGTTAAACAGAATAAAGAAAAAAAAGGTATTGTACAACATGTTGCTGTGAAGTGTAATTAAGAATGTTTTGTTTTTAAAGAACTTTGTAAATAAGCTTTTAGATTCTCATATTGGTAATGGTCCTGTTGCTTCAGTTTTTTCTAGCTATAATAAAGTTAGATGGCAGCATTTTCAAATCCTGATAGGGAGCTTCTTATTATATTAATCATCTTAGTACTAAGAGAGTAACCGAAGGAAATGGGAAAAAAACCCCAAACCCCACCACATTTTTTTCCTCAAAGAAATTCACTTTTCTGAATGTTTTATTCTTTTATTCTTCTGTGAAATGAAAACTGAGCATCAGTGACTTAAAATCCAAAGTAATTTGTCATGTTATTCTTCATGGTTTGTTCTAGTTTTTTAATTCTAAAGTTTGCAAGCTGATAAACTCTATGCCAAAAGCTGTTGTATAGTTATTAGTTTTTTTAATATGGTTTGATCTTGAAAATCAGCCATAAATATCAACACCGGTCATCAGTGGCTTATATTACATCTGCTCGGTGTCAGCAAAGAAGAAAAACATTTTTGTAATGCTACTTTGCAGACTATATTGTACTTAATCTTCTGGTTAATCGTTTGGTTACAGAGAACATGGAAGCTGAAGTGGAAATGGAAGCACATAGATATGATAACTATGTGTTTAGGTTTTATTTTAAAGCATTCACTCAGCTTATTTGTAGTCTTTTGCTGTAAACATGGGAGCTCTAATTTTATAATGGTGCCAGTCTATTTTTAAATTTATCATGAAGTTGTGGCGTCTCAGACTAATCCAAGTAATAAAGATTCCTGTTGTTTGCTTGTCTTTAAGCAAGAAAGTTTAAAACGGTGCCTGTTGAAAACTGATAATTAACCAAGAGTGTAAGTTTATTATGCTACCTGCTGTTTATAGTTTGCATACAGACACATTCAGAAAAGTTTCTGGTTTCTCTGGGCACCTCTGCTTTATCTTCAGTGAGGGATCTGTTCAGCTTTTCTCTGGAAAATATTTGAGTTTATTATTAAGAGTTTGTTCAAATTTACGAAAAAAAAAAAAACAACCAAAAACCCCAGAATATTTGTGTTCCATTTATTTACTGTTTGCTGTTTCCTATTTGCTCATCTGCTATCTGTCATTGAACTGAAATTTTCTTCTAAAGAAAATGCTTCCAAGCAGTGTTCTAGGGTAACACATAATGAGCTCTCTTTTTAATGCTGTCATGCGTTACCTTTATTAAGTGTTCAGGGCTGAGAATTGTTTATTGACAGAAAGAACAATACCTGATTCCTGCATATGCTTGGTTTTAAATGCTGTGAACAACTTTATTGTGTTCATAATTGGGTACTGGAATTGCAATTTGCTTTAATTTTATTTGACTGAAAAAAGATTACAATAAATACATCTGTGATATGATATTAGTTGAGATTGCATTTTATGCCCTAGAGAAGGAAATAATTTATTTCTGTTACAAAAAATAATTTACAGCAATTGTAACTAAGTCTTAGCTTTTTTTTTTTTTTAAAGGTACTACATTTTATAAGGGAAGTTACTGGAAATTAAGACTTTTCAAACAGTTTAATCCAGTATTTGGAAGTAGGGTAGTCCTGGCTCTAGTATGCATCTAACATACTCATGTTACAACAAGGTTTTCTTAAATACAGTCTTTTGAAGTAGTATTGACACCTCTGAGATAGTTTACCAGAAGAAAAAAGGACAAAGAGATTCCTGTACCGTCAGAATACAAGGATTGTGGATACTTACTGAATGAAGATCACATTAGTTTGTTTAATTGCTCATCAAATCTGTTGACAGTAAATAACTTGTTTTCAGTAGTAATGTATTTGAATAAACAGTTTCTATCCAATCAGTTGCTATGGCTGCCTGTACAAGAGGTAATTTATAAGCTTTTGTAAATAGTGAAAGGCACTTATAATTTCTCCTGAGTCTGGAATTGTAAATGGACCAACTTTTAGATGTTAAAATTGTTAAGTGCAGCTTTTGGTGTGATTTGTCGCCCATTCATTTTTATGGAGAGTTTATATCCCTTTTTTTCACAGATGATCTACTAGAGCCGCCATTCATCTCACATTAAAATGTTACAGCTGTTGTGTAAAAGAATATTCTTCTGTTATCTTTCATCTTACCCTCTGTTAGATCTGTCACTAACGCTCACTGGCTTTGATGTATGCAGAGTGTTTCTTGCTGACAGGTGCCAGGCAGGTGGCACGACAATTTGACAAAATTATACTTACTTTAATATTATACTTACTTTATTATTGTTCTTGCTGTTTGTTGGTTTTGTTCACTTAAGGAGTCTTATATATCAGAATCATGAACTTTCTGGGCAGAAGCATCCTGTGACTGATGTTTTTGCATTGCACTACGCTATAAAGTATAGTGGGGTTTTGAGAGTGGGACCTCCATCTGATGCTGTTACACAAGTGGTTGACTCTTATAGCTGAGAATAGTATTAAGTTAATGATAACCGATGGTATTTTTGAGATATCAATCATTTTTCTAAAATTATGAGCTGTTACTTAACGCTGTTTTTTAAACCCTAGCCCGCTGAAGTCAACAGGAGTTTTGCCACTGTCGTGATTTTGTTTTGGATGGAAGCTCTTGAGGGCGCGTGCTGTTACTGTGCAAGCAAAAGCCCTAGCACGTGCTTCTACAGAATGACTCCAGATCCGTCTTAATTATGTCTATGATAGAAATTCTCCTAGTGTTTAATTTGTTTGTAAAACATGACACAAGATATTACCTGTATTTCTACAATGCTAGCATTTTAAGTTTTCTGGTATATAACTTGATCATTTACGTGTCATTAATTTGTCACAGAACACAAAGAAACAAGGAATCCCTTGTGTGTAAGGGAAAGAAAGCAACTGTATTTTTGTATGGTGCATAATAATTTTTCCTGGTCATGTTTTATTTTCAATTCAACTTAGTTAAAGTCACTGTAATTAATGGATTAATGCGGTGCGTTCCATACAGCAAGGCAAAATGCCTGGACTCTCTCTCTAAACTCTGACTTTCAAGGAGCTGAGCTGCTCTGAAGGCTAGTAGTCAGCAGCACAAGAAAATAATATGTCTGCTGAATATAACAGAACTGTTTGAATTCTGCCTCACTTTTAGCTTTTTTACCTAGGAAAAAAATGTTTCAGCAGATAAAACATAAAAGATCTGCCTGATGTGTAGTTGTTTGGGTTTTTTTATGTATGTGCTTTTTCTTACTTATTTTCAGCATACTACGCACATGATAAACTGGATGATTTCATCAGTACTATTAACAGCCATCTACAGCCTTTGTTCATGCAGATCCGGAAAGGAATGTCGGAAGGTGATGGGAGAGCACATTATGCTTTAGTAAGTATGTGATGTGCTGCCATTGCGTGGTTTGGCTTCTCATGAGTAGTGATGGATAGCAGAGGGGGCCTCCCATGTCTCCCAACTTAAAATTAACCCTTGAATAACATGCCAATAAAAGGTCTGCACACCTTCCAACTGTAAAGGGGCAAAAAAACCTAGTTGTATCTGTGCATAATAAACGTAAGGCTGCCCAAAGTGCCATCTTTGGATGTTAGAAAGATTGAGTTACCTAGGGTCCTTTTCCTACAGCATATCTATAATAGAACTGCTATTTGGAGAAAACAGAGAATCTAGAACTGAAGGCTACATGTGCCAGCAGGCTTCTGACTCTTAGCAGTGTCTTGTGTGGTTTATGTGGAGCTGTTCCACTGTAATGCTGGCAGCTGCTAGCTACTTGTAGAACAGGGAGGGGGGAGGATAAATTGCCAACAGCCTAGGTGCGTGGAAATGGAACATGGCAACAAGGACTACAGCAGCGTCTGATTTATTTAGCATAAATATTGCTTAAGTGCTAAAGTGGGATTTCTTTTTCACAGGAGACATTCTTTCTCAAGAGGAATTTTTAAGCTAGAAAACATGGAGAGCCCTCCAACTTTAGTTTTCTTTTTCACTTACTCAAAAATCAACCTAGCATGAATGGGTTGCTAAGGAATGGCCTGTAAAATGTTTCCCTAGATGCTCTGCAATGTGCATGTCAGAGAGGGAAGATAATATAGTAAATTCAAAAGACCATACAAGAGGTATTCTAACATTAGCTGCTGCTTTTAACCTTTCTGGGTCATTTTGCCAGTTCAGTTGAGCTAATAATAAATAGCAGTCGCATGTGCAATAACATATGAAATATCAGTAACTGTTTTTCACAGTGAAACAAAAATGTGTATTATAACATAGTTACTGCCACTAATATTCTATATTAGTTCTATAGGGGGGAGGTGGCATTGTTTAAGAGCTTGGATTGGGCAGAGGCAGCTGTGGAGGGTATGTGGCTGGAAGGTCAGGGGTTGTAAAGAAAGGACTCGAGTACCATCGAGTGCCATCTTTAAGGAACAGCCTCTTTCATGCCACTTAAAGAAATTAGATTTCTGTTAGTTGTAAGATGATGTACTCTTTACCCCAGAGGATCTTTTGCAATTTATGGTGTAGAAATACAAAGGCACTTCGATTTCAGTTTATTTTTTTTGTAGGTGAATTTGGCAGAAACGGAAATAACTAAAATGGCATCTGACTATACAGAAAATGAATTAGAATTGTTCAGAAAAACAGTAAGTATGTCAGTTATTAGTTAGTAAATCACATTATTTGTGAGGGTACGATTTTAAAATGAATGGAAATGGAAATGAATGGAGATGTGGTTCAGGAACTAGTGCCATCTTACCTAAGTTTATCCCAAATCGAATGGGGGGTGGGGATGGGAGTATATGCAAGTAATGATTCCCTGTTGAAAGTCAGTTATCGGTATACTGAAATCAGCAATAGGGGAGTGCTCCTTGGAGTTAGTGACTTGACATACCTGCTTTTAGTTAAACAAACAACTTTCGTCAGGATTTTCAGTTGTGATTGCTGAATTTTTCACTGGCTTCAGTAGTCTAGTAATATGCCATAGATTTTAATGCTAATAACATACAAGTTGGATTTGCTGATTTGAACAGAAACATTTGTCTATTGTTATTACTTAGCCAATTAATTCTGTGTTTAATAAACTAGTCAGAATGCTGCTTTTTAAACGAGAAAACATGCACTTGAGAAATTCCAAATATAACTATTGGGCTGAGATTCCAGAACATTTGATGTGTAATTTCTTATCAACAACCATTAACGTGAGTTGTGATCATAGCTATGTATCCTGCATGAATTGTTCTCATAGTGTCTTGAACTTTGAGGACTTAATTTCTCCAGCCATAGATCTTCTAAATTTTTTTTTGCACATGTTAAAATAAAATTTTCTGATAAACTGGAGAGGTGTATTGACTATTCTGTGACAGCTGCAAAAGTCTAATCTACATGGATAGTACTCGGAGATTTCCTTGCCCTCCCCATTATTGGTGAAGCACCTATACAGCCATCTCAGCAGTGCAGAGGTGACATTGTCATGGTACATATTACTACTGGCATAAAAACTCTGCATGCTGCTCTGATATAATGAGCAGCAGGA